ACAGAGGGACAAAGGCTGATTAGCAGAGATCCTCTTCCAGGGATCAAGAGGGCTGTTACAGCTTGCTTGTATATGCATAGGGTTTCATTTGCTTTTCCCGGCTAAGTTTAAAAAAGCAGCTTCCTTGACATTTACCAAACCTCTCTTAGCAAACCCAAGTCTTAAGCAGCCCCCAAACATCTTTTTTTTTTTTACCAGCTGTGTGAAACCTCATAACTTCATGTTCTGACACTGGTGACTAGTTCCTCATCTTAAAAAGTGAGCTCTAATTTTCAATCCCCAAATATCTAAAACCATAAGATTGAAAACCTCACCACTGTCAGGCAAATAGGATATTTCATTCAGTCTTTAGACTCCAATTCATTCAATATATCCTTGCAAATGTTATGCATTTGCTTCCCATATTGAGAACACAACATCTTGTCTGTCCTTCTTTTGGCTTATTGAAAAGATGGATTCACTGTGTATTAAGCAAAGATAAGCAGAGGGGATAGAGAAAGGAAAGTGAATGATTAAAGTACAAAAAAGTTAGTGCCTTTAGCAGTAACTGATTTGCTTATTACTTTCTGTTTCTCTTCATCATTTGTAGTGTCAACTCTATAATTATCTTTTGCTTACAAAAATTGTCATGTATAGGTAATAACTATAATATTGTATCTCCCACATCTGTCCCCTCTCCCCACCATTCTCATGGCCATCACCCTAGTTCATATTCTCATTACTTGGGTGTGAGGGGTCAGAAGAAGTGATACAAGGAACTCTCAAAGTCTGTCTGAAGAACTTTGCTATCAATTGTGAGACATGGGAGACACTGGCATAGGACTGTCCAGCATGGCATGCCTTCATCAAAGAAGGCACTGTGCTCTATGAGCAAGGCAGAATAAAAATAGCTCAAAAAAAATGACTTTCTCAAATTTAGAGACATCTCCATCTCAAATGTTCATACAGACTATTTGTGCAGAGCTTATGGTAGAGTCTCCGAGCTTGTATTAGTCTGATCAGCCACACGTGGACACACTATACATTGACCACAGACATAGGGATGTCATTTTGGTCCTCTTTGAGCACAAAGGACAAACAACAACTTGGGTGGTGGAGAGCGGAGGGCTGTTGCCATAGTCTGCCTCTCCACCCCCCCCCCCCCCCCCCCCCCCCCCCCCCCCCCCGTCAGTCTCTCTTCCAAGTCATCCTCCATTTGGCTGCCAGATTAATCTACCTAATGCACAACCCTAATCACATCACACTCTCTTCAATGCTTAGTGACTCAAAGCCTAACCTTCAGTATCCTCCAAAATCTGGCTCCAATCCACCTTTCTAATCTTATCTCACACTGCTTCCACACACATTCTCTATATTCCTGCCAAACTGAACAACTCACTGTCCCCTGAACACAGCCTGTGCTCTTCTGGCTATATGCATTTGTTTGCACTATTTTCTAGGCCAGGAAAGCCCTATTTGCCAATTCAGTCTACTGAAATTGTACTCAGGACTGAGTTCAAATGCCAGCTCCTAAATGCCTTCATGATCCCACCTAGTACCTTGTACTAGTGTTACCCATTTTATGTACTTATGATATTCTCTTTTCATGATATTTCTGTTTGTGTCTCAGCTACAAAGACTGTAAGCTCTTTAAGGATTAAAGCCATGTCTTAGTTTTCTCATCTCTGCTCAACCTAGCATAGCTTCTTAGTAGGAGTAGGTGCTTCATAAATGTTGAATGAATGAACGAACAAATGACATTTGCCATGAATACATAATACATTTGTCAATAACGCATTTGTATTTTAAAATGACAGTGAGGGCTGTTGCTGCTAATTACCTTCGAACTAACTTGTATCTACTCTAATTAGCTTTCTAGTGACTTGGTCTTACTTTTCAAATCAGTTTGCTCACAGTTACACTTCATGACAGGTCTGCCAACCTTTCTTAGTATTGAGAAAAATGAAGTCACCAATACTATTCAAAGAAAGGAAATAGAGACGATCAGGAGCACAGGCTTTCAAAAGTTTGGATAAAAGTATTTGCAACCATAAACCCAAAAAAGCAATGTTCAATTTGAGCTACTGTGTGAAACAAAACTGGATAACTGGTTCTCCTAATTACTCAGTCAAGGATAAGTGCCAATTATGTGCTAGGTACAGGGAGACAGAGATGAAATAGTCCCTATCCTCCAGAAGTTTATATGCCTTCTGGGGGGACAATATGCACATATTCAAATATATACAAAACATATAGAAGGTAATTTGGGAGAAGTCCTGTTAACTGGAGAAGGGAATCTGTAAAAAATGTATGTGGGCCTTCCACAAACGAGACACACAAAAATAAAATCAAATAATTTTGCTTGGATAAATAACCAATTTTATAAATATATCTCAAATGTTTTTATGAATTTTAATTTGTATTTAACATTATATTGGAAAATAATTTTTAAAATGTATTCTACTTTATTCTAATGTACAATATCTTGGGAATTCATGCTATAAAGAATTTAAAATAGTCTAATTTGTATGCTATGTACCTAGCACATAGCATATAATTCAAGAACTATTTTTGTGTACATATTATGTACAAGACATTACTCTAAACACTGATGAGGAAAAGAGAAAGAAAAAAAAATAGTTCCTACCCTGATGAGAGGCAGAAAGAGTATTAAATTTGGAATCAAAGGTATTGAATTCAAATCTAGATTCTGCTGCTTAATTTCTATATGACCTTGGACAAATCATTTAACTTCTCTGAGTCTCAAATTCCTTATTTGTAAAATTAGGCAGTTGAACTAGATGACTCTAAGGTGTCTTCCAGATCTAGAGCTACGATGCTAAGAAGCTTACAACCTACAGCATTTAGCAGATGGCATTAAGAAGTGTGAATTGAGTTCAATCAAATCAAATCAAATCGACTCATGAAATGCCTAACAGAGAGCTTCTGATGCTGAAGAGTTCTGTGCAAAAAGCAAACAACCAGGGCCAGAATGCAGAAGTCTTTGAAGCCCTGAGATAACAGAAATTTTAGAAATTCATTATTTGATTTTGTGTGTTTAATTACCCTCTGCTCTGCTAGAATAATCTAAAACACCAGTTTTCTTTATCATTGCTATAGAAGACAGATCTATTGCCACCAGTGATGTTGCTAGGTTGCAGCCCTGTCCCAATGACCAGAACTTATTACAGAGCACCAGCAGCAATCCTAGAAGGACTGAAACAATCACTTTCAAAATATAACCAAGCAAAGTTAGAAATATAGGGGAGCATTTTCTGTTGGCAATCCTTAATTTGGATTAAGCAAATCCATAGGACAAATCCTCTGCTTCTCCACCCACAAGGAAATTACTCAGCATCTGCAATATGGCTGGGAACTGGCATAGTCTTCTTAAGATCAGAGCTCAGTTAACTTTGAGACACGCCCAACCTAATTCAAACTTGCTTGGCTAAAATAAGTAGGCATTAAAAAAAAAGTCTGGAAATACAGAGTACTTAGAGTACTCTGTATATGTAAAATCAATGTGGATGATGAATAAACATTATAACAGTTAGGGAGAAAGACCCAGTAAATTATCTAATTCATTTGCCCATGGCAAAGTAGAATTGGTACCACAAATTATCCTCTCCAATTTCATGTAGTCTAAGCTTCAGTGTTCATAGCAACATAGTTTCTATCATTTCTTCATTTCACCCCATTCTTCTTAGTCCCAATACCTTCAACCATCCAAAAATTCTTTGGGCCTCGCTTTCCTTGTATAAGAAATGAAAATGTTAGATTATATTGCACCAAAAATTCCTGCCCACTCTACGTCTATGATTCCATGAGGCCAGACGGCTTTTTGTCAAGTTTCTTTTCACTGTTGTTAGGATGTAACTGCAATGATTGTGGGAGTGTATGATGCCTTGTTGCCAAAGAGAAAATGTGGATTAAATACTGCAATAAGAGGGACTCATGAGGACCCATTTACCCATAAGAGAAGATTCATTTCTTTAGCTAACATTTGTTTAGTACTTTAAGGTTTGCAAAGCACTTTACGAATATCTCATTTGATCTTCACAATAACACTGGGAGGTTGATGCTATTATTATCTCCATCTTGCAGCTGAAGAAACTGAGGCAGACTAAGGTAAAATTATTTTCCCAGAGTCACATAACTGATAAGTGTCTGAGATTGGATCTGAACTCAGGTCTTCCTGACTCCAGGCCCAGAGCTCTCTCCACTGCAATACCTAGTGCCTCTTTCACCACTTATACCTGTGGGACCTTGGGCAAGTCACTTATCTTCCTCTGGAGCCTCAGTTTCTTCATCTGTAAAATGAGAGGGTTAGACTACATGGTTTCTAAGGTCCCTTCCAGATCTAGATCTAATTCTTCATTCTCTGAAAGAAACCAACAAATCAATTACTTAATTCACTAAGTGAAAAAAAATCCCTATGGTTATTGTACTAAATTTTGGTACTTTGGTGTATCTGTGACTTTGCGAGTGTGAGTATTCCTTTCACATGTGCAGCTCACAGCCTTTTCCCATGAATCCTACAATCTTCTGATCATTTTCTAGTATACATTTTCCCAGAAACAAGGTCAAATGACATAATGTAGGCAAAGCATTTTGCAAACTTTAAAGCAATATATAAATGTTAGTTGGGTATTATAAAGTATTAATAATGTTAATTGTAAGCCTCCATAAATTATCTACCCATACACTAGAAGCCTTCCTCTGATTTTTTTTTCCATATTTAGGATACAAGTGTATTATATTAATAAGGTTAAATCCCATTTAAGCAGTACCTGCTAATAAGAGTGAACCAGTCATTCCAGTGGTTCCCTTGTAATTAGCAAATTAAGAAGTGGAAAAAAAAACTTGCTTACTTTTAAGTATACACACCCTTTCTGAAACTGATAAGAAAAAAAAAGACTTTAACAAAATGCATCAAAGACCATCAATCTGAATTCTAAAGTAGAACATAATCGGAATACTGGGCAAACCACTTCTACCTTCATGAATCAGTCGTCACTTACCTGAAGAGATTATCTCTACGTGTTTCTGCCTTGTCTGGTTCAATCTGATTTCCATCCCTGAAGCAGAATTCCCAGTTAACAGTGGGAAAAGTAAGACAGATCGGCTGGCTTACGTGGAAGCAAAGCGATGGGTAGGAAACCAAGATTCCTAAGAACTGGCCATTGCATTGTTTCGTTAAGCTTCTCTCCCTTCCTAATCAAAGTTATTGTTTTCTTTTAAGATTTCAGAAGTTAAGAAGGAAAATTCACCCAGGTCCCTCCCCTCCCCTTACCTTGCTATGCAGTAATCCTGGGGAAAGTAATGGCAAAAAAAAAAAAAAATTAAAGAATCGAGCTGAGGAACTGGGTGTTGAGGCAATGCCTTTCAGAACAGAAAGAGCCAGTTAGCTCACCTGAGGCCTGCGGCCACTCCCACTGTAACCACTCCTAATTTGCTCTCTCTGTGTCCCTCCCCTCCCACTTGCTTTCTCTTCTTACTCATACACCTTGGCAACTTTTCCAAAATTGAAAAAAAAAATGATTCAGCCTAAAGTTGCTGTTGTCTGCAGAGCTTCCAAAGGCTAACAACATGCTACAGCAAAGAGGGCATGTGGAAAACTTGGGACAATAATGCTCTGTTGGTGGAGATGTGAATTAGTATAACCATTCCAGAGAACAGTCGGGAACTATGTCCAAAGAGTTATGAAACTTCATACCCTTTGGTCCAACAATACCCCTGCTAGGTCTGTATTCACAGATACTTTTTAAAAAGGAAAAGGACGTATGTATTTAAAAAATATTTCCAGCAGCTCTTTCTGTGGTAACAAAGAATTGAAAATTGAGGGGATGTACATCAGCTGGGAAACGGCTAAACAGGTTAAGATAATTGTGATGGAATACTATTGTGCTATAAGAAATAAGAGCAGAATGGTTTCAGAAACTCCTGGGAAAATTGACATGAACTCATGCAAAATTAAGTGAGCAGAACCAGGAGAACACCGTACACATAACAGCAATGTTGTAAGCATGATTTAGCATGCTTACATTAGCACATTTAGCATGACTATGAAAAATTTAGCTACTCTGATCAAGACAACGATACAAGGCAATTCCAAAGGATCCATGATAAAAAATGCTATCCACCTTCAGAGAAAGAACTGGTGAACTCTGAATGCTGATTGAAGCACACTTTTTTTTAAACTTTCTTTATTTTTATTGTTTTATTTTGTTTGTGTTTTCTTTTGCAACATGGCTAATATGGAAATGTTTGGCACGATCGCATATGTATAATCTAGATCAAAGTGCTTGCCTTCTCAAACAAGGGGGAGGGAGGGTCAGAAGGGATGGAGAGAACTTAGAACTCAAAATTTTTAAAAATCAGTGCTAAAAATTATTTTATGTGTAATTGGGAAATATTTAATGAAATTAAAAAAAAAACGCGTTCCAATAGGAAACAGTTACCTATGAAGTTTGACTACATACACACACACACACACACACACACACACACTAACATCAGACTAGAAAGGGGAAAGAAAATGAGTAAAGGGGAGGGGGGGAGCTGGAAACCTCATACTAGACTTTTTTTTTTTACTTTATGACTAAACCCTACAATTCAGAAAGACCTTAAGAGAGCAAATACCTGTAAAATCACATATCTATAAAATCTCTTAGCACACAGTGCCTGGAATGTAGTAGGCCCATAATAAATGCTTTTTCCTTTCTTCCTCCCCCCTCCCCATCTCCAGCCCCTTGCAAATCATAGATATTAGAAGGTTAGCCCAGGTTAGGCAACTGTACTCTATTCAAATATCTGTGTTTTTTTTTCAGAAGGTGGAGGGCTGGGGCAGGAGGAAGTAGACTACTCTAAGACAGCTGCCTGACACACATAAAATTTAAGTGACTTGCCCAGGACCATTCAGCTAATAAGCATTAAGATTTGAACCCAGATGTTCCTGTTGCTAGGCTCAGCTTATTATCTACTATACCAGGCTACCTCTATGGAGCCATCATTATTTCCTTCATTCTCTCACACAACAAACATTTATTGAGTAGCTTCTACACGTGGGCAGTTAGGTGCTATAGTGGATAGAATGCCAGCTAGGCCTGGAGTCAGGGGAACCTGAGTTAAAATCCAGCCTCAGACACTAACTAGCTGTGTGACCCTGGGCAAGTCACTTACTCCTGATTGCCTCAGTTTCCTCATCTGTAAAATGAGCTGGAGAAGGAAATGGCAAACCATTCCAGGATCTTTGCCAAGAAAACCCAAAATGGGGTCACGAAGAGTCTGGCATGACTGAAATGTCTCAACAACAACAATGACTACAGGTTCCTACACACCATGCATCATGCTAGATCATACGGAAGATTCAGAGGTGTTTAAAAGGAGATCATCCCTGCACTCAATGAGTTTACAATCTAGTGGCGTTTGATTTTGGGGGTGGAAGGGGTTTGAGGCAATAGGGGATGAGCGACTTACCCAGTATCACACAGCTAGTAAGTATTGAGAACACATTTGAACTCAGGTCTTTCTGACTCCAGGGCCAGCGCTCTATCTACCGTGCCATCTAGCTGCCCCTTCTGGTACCATTTGAAACAGACTTTTAAATTTTTAAATATGAGGCAGCTGAGGCCTAAAAAGTTCAAATAGCTTGCCCAAAGTCACATAGATAATTAGTGGCTAATTATGTCCTGGTCCATAAGTTCAGATCATCTGGATATAGAAGCTTTCTTAGAATTAAAAGAGAAAGCTCTTTAACCTCAAGTTTCTGGTATTTAGGTGACACATTACCGGGAGAAAACCTGGCTTCTCATTCTTTCTCTTCCTCTTACTAGCTAGTTGGACAAGTAACTCTGAACCACAGATTACTCATCTCTGAACACAAATGATGATCTTCCCTACCCCACCTACTTTGCATGGTTGTTGTCAGGCTCAAGTACACTTGAAAGACTGTGAAGGTACATGTAAAAGACCACTTTACTGAAGTATGAAAGGAGGCAAGGGCCATATTGGAATGCAGGCTGGATTTGGAACCAGAGGAACTGAGTCCAGGTCTTGGCACTTAATACTTGTGTGAAATCTCTCTGGGGCTCAGTTTTCTCTTCTGTAACATGAGGAGTTGGTGCCTTCCAGCCCTCAATTTAGGATCATAAGAGATTATATTGATCATAAGCTCCTCAAGGACAGAGACCGTTTCCTTTTTGTGTCTATGCCAGTGACTCTCAAAGTAGGTTTTGTAACAAATGTTAGTTGAATGAATTACTACATGAATGAGGACCATGGCAAACACTGAATCAATGACAGATGTTTATTATGGGTGACGTAAAAGTTGGTGATTGTTTTTGAGTAATAGAGGATTTATGTATGTAACTGTTCACTCATTTATAATAAATAACCTTAAAACCTCTAGATGATATAGCAGTGGGCCTTATAGAAATAGTGAAAAATAAATAATTTCCTTTAAATTTGTGTTATCTGAACTGGGTCATTACTAATGTGACACAATCCTTTTACTCTTCCCTACTGTTTTTGTTTGTTTGTTTGTTTGTTTTGGTGAGGCAATTGGGGTTAAGTGACTTGCTAGTCACACAGCTAGTGAATGTTATTTGTCTAGGGCTGGCTTTGAACTGAGATCCTCCTGACTCCAGGGCCAGTGCTCTATCCACTGCACCTAGCTGCCTCACTCCCTACTGATTCTTTCTCCTGGTCCCAAAAAAAGACTGTTCCAAATCTTCTCTTCTCTCCTCAAACCTCCTATGCCACTTCTTTCCCCCAGCTTTTCAGATGACGACCTCCCCTTATAACTTCCTGAGGAAATGGAGGCCACTTGCCATGAACTATCTTCTCTCCTCTAAATCCCAAAACCTCATTCCCTGCTCCTTTATTATCCACTCTGGTGAGGAGTGACCCTTCTCACAAAGACCAACCCCTCTTTATGTACCTTTTAATTCCATTCCTTCCCATCTTCTCCAGCAGATCTCCCCTCACTCTCTCTAATCATCAATCTCTAGAACTAGCTACAAACATGTCTAAGTGCTCTCCCATTCTTCAAAATTTCACTAGACCTTACCACTCTATCAAACTGTTATGATCCTGTATCTCCTTTCACAGCCAAATTCTTAGAAAATGCTGACTACACTCATTGCCTTCGCTTCCTCCCTTCTCTCACTTCTCAGTCCTTTGCAATCTGATTCTGACCACATTGCTCAGATGAATCTGCTTTCTCCAAAGTGACCAATGGTCTCTTAATTGTCAAATCTGATGGTTGAGTCTTGTCCCAACTTTCTTCCTTCTTGACCTCTCTGTAGTTGTTGTCCATCCTCCTCTCCAGGATTCTCTCTCATCTCTAGATTTCATGACACTGCTCTCTTCTTCTCCTATCTATCCGGCTCTTTCTCAACCTCCTCTGCTGATTCCCATGGGTTTAATTATCATCCCTCTGAAAATGACTCCCAGACTTCAGCTGTAGTTTCTCTTTTAAGCCCTAGTCAAGTGTCTCCAACTTCCTATGGCTGTTTCCAAGTGAACATCCCTTAGGAATCTTATACTCAGCATGTGCATAACAAAATTCACTGTCATTCCCCTAAAACTCAGCCTTCTTTCAAATTCTCCTATTTCTGTTGCTATCTGTCTAGTCTTCCAGGCATACAAAACCTTGTTGTTATCTTCAGCCCCTCACTCTACCTCACCCCACATAGCCAATCAGTTGCCAGATCTTGTCATTTCTAACTTTACCCCTTCTCTTGGATCTGCCTTCTCTCTCTTTACACCACAACCCCACTAGCTCGGGCCCTCATCACTTCTTGCTGGACTATTTTAGTGATCTCCCAACTAATCACCCAGCCTGCAGTTTCTTCCCTTGCCAATCCATCCTCCACGTAAAAAATTCTTAAGTAATTCCCTCAAACACAGGTCTGATTTCATCCCTCTCCTAATCAATAATTTCCATTGCCTTGTTGTTTCAAAGATCCCAAATAAACTTCTCTATCTGGCATCGAAAGCCCTTCACAATCCCACCGGACTACTTATCCAGCCTAATTACACAACACTCTCCTTCATGCCCAAATTAGCCTTCTTGTTGCTCTTTGAACAGGGCACTCCATCTTCCATCTCCACAATTTTGCATTGGCTGTCACCCACTCCTGGAGTGTACTCAGCCCTCATTTCTACCTCTTAGAATATCTTATTTCCTTTGAAAGTCAGCCCAAGGGGCAGCTAAGTGGCACAGTGGATAGAGCACTG